CCTGTCCTAAGTGTAGAGCATGCACACCATTGCAGGCTGGATGTTCTCCCGTGCTGTCTCTGCCTGATAGTTATGCCTTGGTAGAGGGCGGTGGTGCAGAGCAGAAGTCTGCAGTATCGTGTGATGAATGTATGGACGTGCAGGCAGCTGTTTGGCGCTGTGCAACGTGCAGCAGTCATTTATGCGATTTACACGGCCAAGCACACAAGCGTTCCCGAGCTACCCATGATCATGAGGTACTGTCATTGGATGCAGCAGTTACTGAGACTTCTGCTACTGGCAGTACTGCTGCTACTGCTACTGCTGCTGCTTCAGCTACTCAATCCCAGCATCACTGTGCACTGCACCCAAGCAGTATCCTGACCAAGTTCTGCACAAAGTGTAAGAAACTGTTGTGTGAGAGATGCATCAGTACTGGTAAACATACGCAGCACCAACCAGATCTTGTATCTATCAGTGCTGCAGCGGAGAAGATGAGAGCGTCAGTGAATGATTTGTTGTTGAGCTGTGTGTCTGAGAGTGACGGCGTTCTGGAGAGCTCTATTGAGAAAGTACAGTCCTCCATTCGTAACCTTCATGATCAGATAGAGCTTGCATCAGAAGAGGCAGTGCTTTTTTTCCGTTCTCTGGTAGAAGCTATTCAGAAACGTGAAACCAGTGTTCTGAATGAACTTGATGATCTTCGAAGTCAGGCACTGGGACCTCTGGAGAAGCAACTCGCTAGGCTGCAGGGCAGTGTGTCACAAACAGAAGTTGTGAGTTGCTTGCTCGATTCTTGCCAGGACAGCGTGGACTTTGTGCGCATGTCGTCTTGGCTAGTGACAGCCTTGAACGGTGCAGCGGAGGTTGGCAAGAGTGATGCCGAGCCGTGTGTTGTAAGCGGCATCGTCTTTGCAGCAAGCGACACACGTGATCTCCTGACTGGCATCAGCAAAGCGGGTCTTTGTGGAGACATGGCTAAGAGCAGTGTGCAGTGCACTAAGAATGCGGAGATAGGCGATGACGTTGTCATCGGAGTTGAAACGGAGAAAATTTCAGGTACTGCTACGATCAGCGAAGAAATGCTGAGAAAGATTGATTTAGGAGTTGCTGTGACAGAACCGGACGGCCACTTAGTCCAGTGCGAGTCACTACAGCAGTCATCTAGCGGCCGTCTGGTTACTAAATGTTGTCCTACTGCAGGCGGGGAATACGCTGTTTCCACTACTATTGCCGGTGTTCCTCTGAAAGGTAGTCGAGTGAAGTTCAGTGTTGTTCCACCAGCACCTGCTCAGCCGGCACCTGTACCTGTGTTTGATATCAACCGCTGTCATGGCGATATTCAGATCAGTAACAACAACCGAACCATCAGTAGGTCGTCGTCCTACGGGTGGCATTCAGTGTGTAGCTCACCGATACAGGAACAGTGCGGTAGTAGTGCTATACAGGTACGTATAGATGTCATACAGTATGGCAATATCTTTGTATGCTTATGTGCATCGGCTAGTCCAGTACTGTCTAGTGTACATAGCACACAGGGTGAAGTGTACGGTTGGCGTGGTGGCTTTGCTGATACCTCTCTTGGTGGTGGTGCTCTAGGCCAGCCCTGGCAGAGCAATGATGTGATCACATTGACATTAAACCATGATGATCATAGCCTGACCGGACTGCATCATCGTACCGGTGTAACTGAAGTGTTGCACAACATCCCAACCAGTAACCTATGCTGGTATGTATCTTTGGGTAGTGAAGGTAATCAAGTTACGATCGTTTCTTGACTCACACTGCTATCACCCTGATTTAGGCGATGATCCGCGTTTGGTACTTGAACTCCACAACACACACACGCACACACACACACACACACACACACACACACACACACACAAACCAGGGGCGTGCTCGGCCCCCCAACTAGGGGGGTGCACGGGAGCCGAGGGGAGCCCCCCCCCCGGCAATTTTCTGCAATTTGTTTGCAACCTTTCTTGAATTTTAGAGCATATTCGCATACATTACAATTGCCTTGGATCACAGCAGACACGACCTTTTTGAACTGGCCCTGCCTGGCAATGGCGTCTTTGTGGGTTGCCTGTGAGCCGTGTTTGTCCAGCAAAGTGGTGGCCTTTTTGAAGTTGGACATAGGTCTTGCTGTGAGCTGTCCCTGATCCGCACCACTGGGAAATAGGAGGCACGGAAGACAGAAACCCCCGTCGCATTTGGGTGAATAGACCAGCCACGTGTTGTCCTCTAGCCACTGGTGACGAAAACGACGGTTTCTGCCATCATTTCCTGTGTGGACAGGAAAGTCGTGTTTCGGCCCTGGCACAAAGTGGTGGTCGACCAAGCGACACTTCTCATCAGAGGACAACGATGACGGCAAACAGGTCCACTTTTGTGATGCAAGGTTGTAGCCTTTTCCAATGTCGTTTGGAGTGCCGCCTGAAGCGACTACATCAACCTCGTCGGGTTTATCCACCGCGGTAGACCCGGCAGCCTGGGCTACTTCTCCTGCGACCTCTTCAACTACTACCACTTCGTCTGACTCTTCACCTCTTGAAGAACCCTCATCGCCACTCGAGGAAATATTATCAGATTTTTTCGCTGCAGCAACAGCTCCCGCAGCAACAGTTGCAGAACGACCGAACGCTTCACTTAGAGTTAGCTGCGGCAGCGTGGAAGCTTTGCGCAATGACTTCAATGACGGCGGTCGATTTGACATTATGAAAAGAGCAGCTCAGTCATAGTCAGATACCCATACTTCAGGAAAGAAATCAAAGAATCCAGAGACCTGAAAGCAAGAAATCGAAACCGGGAGAGAATCCGACTGTCGCAAGGTAATGTTTATGCTGTGCACAGTGTAGATCTACGTGCAAAATTATTGTTCGCGCTGCACGTGTACGTGTACATGAAGGCCGGCCGTTTGCATGTGTACGTGTCACATCCGAGGTGCAGTATTATTTTTTTCAAAACCCAGATTGAAAATTTTGGGGGGGGGGTGCACGTGCCCCCCGTGCCCCCCGCCGAGCACGCGCCTGCAAACACACACACACACACACACACACACACACACACAGTGGCTTCATTCACTACATGTACTTGACTCTTTGACTTTACTGGTAACCTTCGTCAGTGCATGTCTGCCTAATTTCCATCTTTTGTAACATTAGCACATACATGTGCATAATTCATTTCATTTTTCTTTTCATCATGGTTGTATGTCGGCATCGATTTTTTCATTTATAGCCAAAGTTACGTTGAACTTCTTTCTTTGAGACGCCTTTTAGCATCTCTGTTTCGTTTCTTCATCCTTTCCTATTCCGCGGCGTGGTCTTTCGTGTGTTTTTGAGCATGCTCATCATTCTGTTTCCTGTGTTGCTGCCATGTCTTTGTTGTGGCCGGCACCATCTTTTGCTCAGTGTGCTAGTTTCTATACAGCCTTCCATTCAATGAATGTTGGTCATTAGAGAGACAGTCATATACTGCAGGTATTAGTTTTGTACATCCATGTTTTCTCTCATTTTCTTTTTATTCGTCGGCCGTAACTCATGGAACATGAAGGATCGTTGGTGTTTGAATTTCCACTCGTGGTCGATTTCGTAAGCTTTTCTGCCCCACATGTACATATACTTTGGAAGTACCGAGCTCTTGTTGTCATACTTTTGACAATAGTATTCATGAGATGTAAGTGGAAGGGTAAAGCCTGTCGTATGGACTCTCCGTATTCTGCGTTTTTGCTGCCGCTGCTGCGGCTGGTGCTGCTGCGTCTTTCGCTAGAAGACATCCAGCCACCGTGCGTGCTGCTCAATGAAATGTGACCGTGTGAATAGACTAGCGTTGGTTGCTGTGTCAGCGCGAGACCTATGAACACTGGGTTGTGCGCGCAGTGCACCGACTTGATCATGCCATTGTGTATTTAAATTGCTCACGAGTCCGACTCGAGCATGTAGAATCTTCCTGGCTGTTCGTATTCTGGACATATGTAGAATATTGATACTGTACTCGCACGATTAGTGCCCCGGGGACACTTTTAACGTCCATCGCAGACGGGGCGCTATTCTGGAGGGTGCTATTTTTTCAATGCTGGTTCGTTTACGTCATCCAAAATAAATATTAGAGAAGGCAAAGAAGACCGGAGTCTAATGTGAACTAAAAAAACTATGATGACTCAGTAGAAAATGCAATAACACCTGCGTTTTTATTCCGGAATCCACCCGTGTAATTACGCAGACAAGATCATTAGCAAACCAACACCAAACTTGCATGTGCACTTGATTACAAGCCGGGGGGGGGGGGGACACTATTCAAGAGAGGGCTTTATTTTCTTCATTGGCTCTCAGAGACAGGGGCACTATTCGAGAGAGGGCACTATTCGAGACAGGGCACTATTCGAGACAGGGCACTGTTCAAGAGAGGGCACTGTTCAAGAGAGGGCACTGTTCAAGAGAAGGCACTATTCGAGACAGGGCACTGTTCAAGAGAGGGCTCTAATCGCGCGAGTACGGTGCTCTGAGGTTGTGATCATTGGGAAGAATCTTGCCTGCTCCAGTTCTAGCTGACGTCTTCAGGTATTCAGTTCCATACCGGCTGTAGCTTTTGTTCGTGACACGCTGCATGCAACTGCACATCTTGTCCACTGTGCTCCCTGCTGTAGGTGGCTGAGGTGGTCCAGCGCTTGCTGTCTAGGCGTGTACACCTGGCCAGCGTGGGACGGCGTGCTCAGCGCCAGGCCTTGACGTTCACGCAGACTGCGTATCAACTGTCCTTGAGCAAGATCATCAATCGAGTGAATGCTGTGTAATAATTTGCCCCTTGAAATTGAGTACAGCGCTTTTCGGTGGCATCGTGCTTCGACCGTGTGGATAGCAGTGATGGCTGCAATGACAGCCATCTTGGAGTAGGGCATCCGTGGCGATCAGCAAACTCGTGTGTAGTCCATACCAGTTACATTGTGTTCCGAGGTGTGAAACTCAATGCATTGGCACCTTTGTTGGACAGTTCTCCCCCCCCCCCCCCCCCCCCCC